GTTTGGTAAGGCCTTGGTCTTACATTCTGAAGGCACCGCCGGGATCCTTGGGTGTGCTCCACTTCAGCTCCTTGGAGCATTTGGTAAGGCCCTTGGCCTTGCATTCTGGAGGCACCGCTGGGATCCCTGGGTGTGCTTCACTATAGTCAGCTCCTTGGAGCGTTTGGTAAGGCCCTCGGTCTTACAGTTTGAAAGATGTTTCATACAATACCTTCTTACACTTACTGAAGACTACAGACCAATGAGGAAAACCACCATTACTGTGAATACTACCACAGCTTTTATAACTGCAGTCATCAAGAGAATTCTTTATTAAATTGTAAGAACATTAAAAAAATAGGACCCCTGGTACAAATTTAGAAGCAGCCTTTATATTGACTATTGCTATATATCATTGTTTGAGAAGCTAAATAATTTAAAAGAAAAGAATACCCAGACATTGGTATATTCATATTGTCTCAATGTTTAACTGACTCTGATTTTTAGGATCTTAACAAATTCAAAAATTTTAATTATATTTTTATGCCCTTTAATTTGTTTTTTTGAGACAGGGTTTCACAGTGTAATTCAGGCTGGCCTTAAACTGATTATGTAGCCCAGGGTGGCCTCAAACTCACAGCTCCTGCCTCAGCTTACTGAGTGCTGGCATCACAGGCTTGAGCAACCACACCCAGCAATTAGTATCTTTAACTTTTGTGAAACTGAAAGTCTTTCTAAAGTTAAAACATCTCAAATATAAATTTGATTAGCTAATGTAGGGAAAATTTACATTAGCAGTTGAGGACACCTTTGTTATATCTTTTAAAACTTTTCTTTTTTTCTTTTGAGACAGGGTCTCACTATGTAGCCTAGGGTGGCCTTGAAATCTTCCTGTCTCATGCTCCTGCATGCTGGGATTACAGGAATGCATCACCATACTTTACCTTTTAAAAACATTTTATAAAAGTCATGTGAACAAAGAGGTATTTAGGTTTATGTTTTTAAGTTATTGAGCACTTTTTAAAAAAAGGAATCTGGTACCATCTCAACAATATATAAATACAAGTATACACGTAGGCATAACATAATATATACATTTATGCCAACACACATAAAGCAGTGACTTAAAGTTTTAATTTATCAGTTTTTAAAAAGTTATATTATTGTCATTTTTTTAATTAGTCTTATACAGTATTTAATCTTAAAATTGCATATCTGAAGGTAGGATTGAGGTTGTAACCAGGTTGGAAATATATGTATCAAAGGTGATTGCTTGCCTAATTAAACTGAATTTGAATTTTTTGAAGCTTTTATTCTTTGCCTTAATTTATCATAGATCTTAGTCAATTTAAGACATTTTATTGCACTAAAATTTAGATATTGATGGTTAGAAATTTATGTCTTATCTAATATGAAAAATAATCCAGTTTAGAATCAGTATTGCCCACAAAGAAAAACACAAAGGCAAAACATTTGTATCTTAGCCAGTCTTATTTTAGTGAATCTTTTTAAGGACAGCTCTCTGAAATCAGTGTGCTTTCATATATATATATATATATGTATATGTATATAGTGTATCACAATAAAATCACTCCTTTTAAATTACAGGTAACTAAAACTTTACTAGGGAGCTGCAAAGTACCACAAGCATTTTCATTTTTGAGCAGTTTATAACAGAGCTTTTTAAACACATCAGCAGGTTTT